TCTTTTTTTTTTTTTTTTGGGGGGGGGGAAGGGGTCGTGGGGCTTGACCTCTAGTCCTGGGTGATATCCCTGAGCTCTTCAGCTCAAGGCTAGCACTCTGCCACTTGAGCCACAGCGCCACTTCCAATTTTCTGACAGTTAATTATAGAGAAGAGTCTTAAGGAGGGCTGGGAAGGTGGCTCAGTGGTAGAGCGCTTGCCTTGCATGCATGAGGCCCTGGGTTCCATTCCTCAGCAACACATAAGCAGAAAAAGCCGGGAAGTGGCGCTGTGGCTCAAGTGGTAGAGCGCTAGCCTTGAGCTGAAGGACAGCGCCCAGACCCAGAGTTCAGGCCCCACCAATGACTCGACACCCCCCCCCCCCTCCGCCACCACTTAAAAAACTACTCAGCCTGTTACACAAAAGTAGAAATAAGTACTTAGAAGAGTGAAATTTTTCCCGGCACTGGTGATTCATACCTATAATCGTAGCTACTCAGGAGGTTGAGATCTGAGTATTGTGGTCCAAAGCCAGCCCAGGAAAGAAAGTCCATGGGACTCTTATCTCCTATTAAACACCAGAAAATCGGGCGGTAGAATGTAGCCTCAAGCAAGAGCTCAAGGTCAGCACCCAGGCCCAAAGGTCTAGCCGTATGAGGGTCAAAAAAAAAAAAGTGAAATTTTATTACTTTCAATATTTACAGTATACAAAACCACATTATGCCATCAAATTACTAAAGATGACTCATAGAATATTTCATGTTACAGGGCTGGGAAGTTGGCTCAGTGGTAGAGCGCTTGCCTTGCATGCATGAGGCCCTGGGTTCGATTCCTCAGCACCACATAAGAAAAAAGCCGGAAGTGGCGCTGTGGCTCAAGTGGTAGAGCGCTAGCCTTGAGCTGAAGAGCTGAGGGACAGCGCTCAGGCCCAGAGTTCAGGCCCCACAACCGGACCCAAAAAAAAAAAAAAAAAAAAAAAAAAAAAGAATATTTCATGTTACATGAAAAACATGATTCATAAGTATTCATAAGTATTGGCTCCATGAGGAAATGCTAGTAATCAGCATTAACCCCAACTGTATTTTCAGATTGACCACGCCTTGTTAGATAGAGGATACATGGACAATTGCACTCAAAACTCTAAATTTGCAGTGAAAGGTATCTTCAAGGATAGGCATTAGGAAATTAAACTACAACATGTACTTAGGCAAACAGCTATAAAAACCTGTTGAACAAATTTTTAATTTAAGAACAGCTTCACAAATCTTTTGCAAGATCAGAAAAGAAATAAACATTATAAAGCACATTACACAAATCCCATTCTTTTTGTTGTTGGTTGTGAGGCTTAAACTCAAGGCCTGAGCATTGTCCCTGAGCTTTTTTACTCACTGCGAGAGCTTTACCACTTTGAGTCACAGTAGCACTTCTGGTTTTCTAGTGGTTAATTGGAATTAAAAGTCTCACGGTCTTTCCTATCTAGGCTGGGTTCAAACAGCTATCAGATATGAGTCCCCTGAGTAACTATGGCGCTTGGCTGCAAACCCCATTCATGAAGCCAGGTTCTTTCACAAATTACCAAACAGCCCTTGTTGCTGAAGAGTCAACATCTTGAATCTGATAGTCACATCGGAAGAACCAAAGATAAGTTTTCTGGCTTGGACTAGTGAGAAGTCTTTTCCTTCAGAATCTTGGTGAGTGAATCTAAGCGAGCATGTATTAGCATTATTTTCTCTTTGAGCTGCAGAGAGAAATACATAACTATCAGGACATCGTATTTTAACTCTCAATTTGTTGGTTGGAATGCCACTTCAAATTTCAGCTATTTTAGATCAAGATTGGGAGTTAGCAATCTCAATCTATATGAAGAATACATTTCTTGGGCTGGGAATGTGGCTTAGTGGTAGAGTGCTTGCCTAGCATGCATGAAGTCCAGGGTTTGATTTCTCAGTACCACATCAACAGGAAAAGCTGGTAGTGGGGATGTGGCTTAAGTGGTAGAGCACTAGCCTTGAGTGCAGAGAGGCTCAGGGACAGAACCCAGGCCCTGAGTTCAAGCCCCAGAACAGGCAAAAAAAAAAAAAAGAATGCATTTCTTAGCTGGGTGCTATTCAGGAGGCTGAGATCTGAGGATTGCGGTTCAAAGCCAGCCTGGGCAGGAAAATCCATGAAACTCTGCCAGTTAACCACCAGAAAACGGGAATTGAGCTGTAGCTCAAAGTGGTAGAGGGCTAGCCTTGAACAAAAGAGCTCTTTTAGACCCTTTAGTGAATACCTACAACTAACATTACCTGCTCTCCAAGGGCAAAAAAATTATATTTCTTTAGCAAGGAATCAGGTTCATGCCTTTCACAGCTCAGCTACTCAAGAGGCTGAGCTGTAAGAATTGAGGTTCAATGCCAGTTTAGGCCAACAAATCCAAATTGGAGACTCTCATCTCCAATTAGAGAGGCATGACCAAAGTATAGTGAAAAAGTAAAAAAGCCACGTGAGACACCAGTCCCTGAGTTTGGGTCCCATGACTGGCAAAATAAAAATAAACTTGTCTATACTGGGGATACAGCTCAAGCAAACACTAGCCTAGAATGTGCAAAGCCTTGGATTCAATTCCCAGCACCACTTAAGAGGATTTGTCTATGTTAAAAGAACTATACAACCATGAAAAGTTTACCTCTGCAATCTTTTCTGGTAGAGGTACATTCTGAATATCAATCTCAGATGCATTTACGACAGCTCTTGTTTTTAACCGATAGCTAAATGGAAATACAGAAAACAAATATTAGTACAAGTAAATAAAATACCCTTTTGAATTATTCTGTGGTATGACTACTAAGACAATACGATGAGAATACAACCAGAACAATCACAATGTTAAGAAGTTATGTCATATACACTGCTATTTTTTTGGATGATAATCCCTGAGTTTAGTATCTTTAATACAAATACTTTGCTTTGCACAAGAGATAAAAATTTACTTGATAAACATATCTACTCACCAGGGCTGGGAAGGTGGCTCAGTGGTAGAGTGCTTGCCTTGCATGCATGAGGCCCTGGGTTTGATTCCTCAGGACCACATAAGCAGCAAAAGCTGGAAGTGGCACTGTGGCTCAAGTAGTAGAGTGCTAGCCTTGAGCTGAAGAGCTCAGGGACATCACGCAGCCCAGAGTTAGGGCCCATGACTGACAAAACAAACAAACAAAAAATATCTACTCACCAAACCATTTTATCACTAGAAAGGCAGAAGTGACCTCTTAAAGCAGCCAAAGCAGCATGGGTGGAATACAAATGGAAGCCAATGGGAATTCCACAGGAACTACAGAATAGAAGGTTGTAAGTGCTGAAGGGAGAGACAAAATATGGCAAGAAGGATAATTAGAGAACAAATAAAAGGTATCCATCCATTCCATCCAGGCTTTGGGGGCTCATATCTGTAATCCTGGCTATTCAGGTGGCTAAGATCTGAGGATTGCAGTTCAAAGCCAGCCCAAGGCAGGAAAGTCCATGAGACTCAGAAAAACGCTGGAAGTGGCGCTGTTGTTCAAGTGGTAGTGGTAGAGCTCTAGGAGCAAAAAGAAGGTCAAGGGACAGTGAATCCAGAGTCCAAGCCCCAACATGGAGGGGGAGGGGGGAATCCATTCCCATGCCTGTAATCCCAGCTGCATGGGAGGCAGATGTGAATATGTGTATATGTATACATATATATACACATACATATACGCATATGCACACTATAATACAATAATGCTTTGTGGAATTATTTGCAATAAAGCTGTCAAAAGAATAAAATGTTGGTGCCCTAAGCAATCTTGGGTCCTGATTTTAAATTTAGGATGCTATCAATCGAAAGGTACATGCCCATTTTAGCATACTTAGGCGAGAAAGAAAAATATATCGCACATACATAGCTTACAATTAAATAGAAGGACTCAAAGGATCGTCCGTGTCCCGTCCCAGTTCCTCCCTCATAACGCCCAGGTCTGGAGCCCACCGGGCATTCTCGGCCTTACCTGCATTTGAGCGAACCTTCAATGCCAACCAGAAAGGGCGCTTCCAGAACGACGTTGTTTGTGACTCCTGAGAAGACGAGAAAAAGAAACCTCTGAGGATCTTGGGAAGGAAAACCGCAGCTGAGGTCCGGTGGCTCAGGCCCGTGATCCGAGCCGCGTCGGAGGCTGCGATCTGAGGATCGGATCGGGGTTCGAAGCCAGCCCGGGCAAGAAAGCCCGCGAGACTCTCATCGCCAATTTACTAGCAAAACAAACAAAAAAAAAGGATGGAAGTGGAGCTGTGACTCGAGCGGCACAGCTCTCGCTCGGAGCTAAAATGCTCAGGGCGCGCGCGGGCCAGGTTCGAGCCCCGGGACCCGCACCAACAGCGGGGCTGGGAGTCCTCCCGGCCCGCCCGGCCCCTCCCCGCACTCACTGGAGAAGGCCACGGCCCCGAGCGCCCGCGACAGGTCCCACGCCAGGTGCAGCGAGTCGGCGAGCACCGCGAAGCACCGCGCGCACTGGAACACGGCGCAGCGCTCCGGGCGCAGCCACCACGGCAGCCGCGGGCCGGCGGGGGCTTCCGCCGCTCCCACCCCCGCGGGGCCGAGCGGCGAGGACCCCACCACCACCTGCGTGTCCCACTCCATGCACGTGGCACCAGAAGAGTCGTCGGAGGCCTCTTTAACGACGTGGCGAAAGTCACACCAGGAGCGCTGGGGCGAAAGCGAGCGGGGCGCGGCCGCCATGCTTCCGCAGCGCGCGCGCTGGTTTCGAACACGCACCAAGTCCCGCCCCAAGCGTGGCTCCCGCGTCCTCATTGGACGACGCTGGCAGCCTGGGCCCGCCTCGCACGTCGTTCGGTCCCTGAGCATTGGCGAGGCGAAAAGAAGAGGGTGCGTCGGTCGAGTCGGGAATCAGCCTTGCAATTGGTCAGAATCAGAGACCCCCCCGCCTTCACGGCATTTTCAACCAACGGGAGCGCAGCATTCTTCATTTTTAAACTCAATATAAACGCCGGTCGGGCTAACGCTTGGCGCGAGAGTTTTGAAAGGCGCTCGTTCTAGTCACGTCGCCGGTCTTACAGGACGCCATGACCGTCCCGTCCGCGGCGGAGCTGGACTCCTTCAAGTACGGAGACCTGCAGAACTTGGCCAAGAGTCTGGGCCTCCGCGCTAACCTGAAGGTGCGGCGGGCGGCGGGCGGGCGGCGCGACGGGCCCGGGAAGAGGCCGCGACCGCCGCCTGGGCCCGAGCCAGTGTTTAGAGCCCGAAACGCGCCCGTGGAGGCGCGGTTGTCACCTCCTCTCGAGTGTGGCTTCTCCCGAGAGCCGGGGCGGGCTGGGTTGTGTGACGGAGCACTTGGGGTGCTTCGCGGGCCGTGGGTGAGGAAGCGCTGGCCCGGGAGGCGCCCGCCGCCGCGGGGCCGAGCGCGGGCTGCGAGGCCGCTGCAGCGCCGCAGCGGTGTTTCCTCTTAGTGCAAACTGGGGTCGAGCCCGTGACCCCTTGGTGCGTGATTGGGAGACCCGGCCCCTGCGGATAGGCCCCGGTCTGGTGGGGTTGGCGAGCCGTTCACCGATCGCTGTTGTGGTGCTCCTGTTCAAAACCCCTCGGGTCTGTGTCCCAGCTGGCCGTGTTGAGGGAAATGTGAGGATCCGCTATGGGATGGGACATTTACTATATTGTAGTTGAGGTTTCCCCGGTGCGTTTGCAAGCCGTGATCCTCATCCTGAATATCTCCTCAGTCGTCGGGCATGTTTTTAAATAGCTCAAGCAGGACGATCAGAGCCAAGGTACCTCTTTGAATAAAGGAGGGGCCTCGGGGATATGTCTAGGCTGTCGTGTTTAATGGCTCCCCAGTATTTTACGCAGAGTTCACTTCCTTGGACTCAGTCCTGTCATTTTGCTTTTTGCTATTTGGCTGGAATCCTTTTTCCCCTGTCTTGTGACAGAGTAACCTCAACCTCGCCTTCTACTCTCAGCCTCCCTAGAGCTAAGATTACAGGTGCACCCCACCAAGAGCATTTTATTCAAGGCTGCATCCCTAAACACAAAACGTGGAAGGTAGAATCTCACTTTATGCCAGGCCTACCCGGGCTGTGAGCCTCCTGTTGTGGGCTCTGCCCCGCCTCGCTGGGGATGACACCAATTGAGCCCAACCATTGCATCTCCCTGGTAGCTGGCATAACAACTGCACACAACCTCTCCCAGGGGTTCTGAGGTAGAAGCTGGAAGCTCTACAACTTTTTTGCCCAGACTGGCCTCGAACCTCGATACCCTAATTTCCAGTTCCTCTGTAGCTAGGATTACCTAGCTCTTGACCAAAAAGAAAAAAAAAAAACTAAAGAAAAGAGAGGAAGAGAACTAAGAGTCTGTCTTCTAACATGCCAATCATCTCCATCTTAGACAAGACCTCAAAGAGAAGTTCAAGGGACAAGTAGAAAATACAGCTGGAGGGCTGGGAAGGTGGCTCAGTGGTAGAGCGCTTGCCTTGATGTATGAGGCCCTGGGTTCAATACCTCAGCACCACATAAGCAAAAAGAAAAAAGCAGGAAGTGGCGCTGTGGCTCAAATGGTAGAGCGCTAGCCTTGAGCTGAAGAGCTGAGGGACAGCGCCCAGGCCCAGAGTTCAGGCCCCACGACTGGACTCCCCCCCTCCAAAAAAAAAAAAAATACAGCTGGAATGGTGCCTTATATCTGGAATGATGCAGCGCGTTCTGGTAGAGTGGGTTGGAGGATGTGCCCTCAGAGCATAAGCTTTGATGTATAAGCCCATGTCATCTGGTGCTGCTTTGTGGTCCTTTCACATTGTTTTGCAGTTGCCTTTTTCTTCTTTCTTTCTTTCTCTCTCTTTTTCTCTCTCTCTCTCTCTCTCTTTCTCTTTCTTTCTTTCTTTGTTTTTTTTTTTGTCTGTCGTGGGTCTTCAACTCTGGGCCTGGGCACTGTCCCAAGCTTTTGAGCTCAAGGCTAGCACTCTACCACTTAAGCCACAGCGCCACTTCTGGTTATCTGGTGGTTAATTGGAGATAAGTGTCTCATGGGTGGCTTGGAACCACGATCCTCAGATCTCAGCCTCCTGAGTAGCTAGGATTACAGGTGTGAGCCACAAGTGCCTGGCATCAGTTGCCTTTTTTTTTTTTTTTTGTCTGACTTTCCCACTGGGATGTGAGGTCCCTGAACTGAAGGGCCAGTTTTGGTCCATCCAGACTTGGTCCTCCAGCCTGACCAGAAAACATTTAATGAATGAGAGAAGAATGTATAAGATGAAACTCTTCACATTTTTCTCACTTGTTTCACTTGGTTCTAATTATCTCTTCTGCAGGCAGACAAGTTGTTAAAATCTTTGAAAGCTCACCTCAAACTGGAAGCAAGGAAAGAAAATAACAGTCAGGTAAGTAATTATTAGCTGCTAAACAGTTGTGTTTAGGGGCTGGGAATGTGACTCAGTGGTAGAATGCTTGCCTAGCATGCATGAAGCCCTGGGTTCGATTCATTACTACCACATAAATAGAAAAAGCAGGAAGTGGTGCTGGGACTCAAGTGGTAGGGTGCTGGCCTTGAGCAAAAGAAGCTCAGGGACAGTGCCTAGGCCCTGAGTTCAGGCCCCAGGACTGGCCAAAAAAAAAAAAAAAGTAATGGGCAGTCAACACCAATTATGATGGTTTAAGATATGCAGGTTCTCACCACAGAGATCATTTATTGGTCATAGTGCCAGGTATTATTTGTTAGAAATGATCAAAAATGCCCTGTCACCTAATGAATATGAGGTCCTTAAACAGGCAATACTGCCTGTGATGCTGGCGACTCAGGAAGCTGACACCCGGCAGAAAAGTCTGTCAGACTCCATCTCCACTTAAGCAGCCAAAAGTTAGCCTGGAGGTGTGGTAGACCATTACCTGAGCATACAAGCTGAGCCAGTGGTCCTGAGTTCAAGCCCAGTACCATCACAAGAGATAGGCCGGGAGGGAGGGAAAGGGATTAGAAGAAGAAAAGTAGAAGAATGAAACCTGTATGCCTTGCCTGATGTCCTCACAGTGAATTTGCAACAGTAGAGATACTGGAGACCATTAGAGCAAACAGCAGGGCTCTCTACTTAGCTAAGGTTAACCTCAGAGTCACAGTTTTCTGCCTCAGTCTTCTGAGAGCTGGGATTACAGGCATATACCACCATACTCAGCTCTTCTGTGCTCCGTAAGTATCAAAGTTGATAGCATTTAAGCTATTATTGTGCATTGAATAATAAAACAACCTGCCCGCTACAGAGTGCAGTGTATTGTCATTCAGTGACCGCTCCCCGCTCCTGTGGTGCTGGGTATTGAATCCAAGACCTGGCAGAGGCCACTGGGCCACACCCCCAGTGCCTCATACAATGATTCCTTTTATAAGCAGGGCTGTGTGGGATGTTCTGGATCGCAACCATCCTTTTCGCTTTTAGTTTATGATAACGCAGGTGTTGTGGTTCTCACTCATTCTCACTTTCCGCTCTGTGGAGTTACTTTGGTCTCGGGGAGCAATCTGGTGTTATGTTATATCCATATGGGAGAGAACATGACAGATCAGTATCTCTCTTTTTAGGGTGAAAAGGAAACTGCAGCCTTCTTCTGTGATGAGACTGAGACACAGATGAGCAGTCAGGAACAAGCTGGGAAGGAGCCAGTCGTCCATGTCACCAAAAGGAAAAGGCGCAGGCACAAGAGAGGCCACGGGAAGCCTGTCTCTCAGGTGAATGAAGTGTGCAAGCTGAACTAGAGCACCACCTGTGCCAGAGCTGGCAGGGTGTTAGTGAGCGTTCCCTCTACACTCCTGTGCTGAGCCCTGTGCTGCAGCTCCGAGCTCCTCTTAGAGTATGGTTTTAAAATTCTCTTTGCTCTGCTGCTCCTGCCCAGGTGATTACTCTGCACTCAAGTCGTTCAACAGTGGGGTCGCTGTGGCTTCCCTCCGTTGCTTTGCATAGACTCTGGTTGTGTTCTTTCTTCTTCACTCAGATGTAACATTCACCAGGCATGGTCCTCATTTCTTGTTTTCTGACTTCATATAGGCTGCCTAGGTCTCTTAGCCTGACTTATGAGCCATAAGCGAACTCAGCTTCCTGCTTCTTCCATTGGTCTCTAGTACAACAGGAGTGTTGCCAAGTTCAGTGTCATGGCACTCGGGGAGGCAGAGAGGCAGAGCTGTTAATGCCACCCTCAAGTCTTCCTCCTTACTTTGCTTCTTCTCTTTTCCCCTTATTTTCATACCAATCTTTACTTTCTTTCAGTGGTACTGGGATTTGAACTCAAGGCCTTTCACTGGTTAAACAGGTGCTTACTTGGGCCAGTTATTAGAGTCTTGCATTTTTTGGTCAGTGGATTCAGACTTCAGTCCTAGATCCTCCTACCTATTGCCGGCTTCTCACCACCAAGCTGTTGATGGCTTTGCCTGAGCCAGTCTTCCCCTCCCAAGCAAATGCGACTGCTTACATGTATGTGCCACTGCGCCCAGCTGTAAGAGACATTCATATTCTTTGTTTCCTTTTAAAATTTTCAGCAGGATCATTCCAAGATACAAATAAGTGATCCTACTACATTCCAGAATGAGGAAAAGCAGGATCCCAAAACTACTGCCGAAGTTTCTTCTCTGCCAGACCAGAGCCAAGGAGATGGGAATATGGTTTCTGTAGGCCAAAGTGAAATGAAAGGTATGGACTTCATGGTCTCACTTTTTGAGAGTTCAGACCATGCTCTCCTAACGCCCATGTCTTCCTCGCCGCTATTCCTAGGCCTGTGGCCATCATACTGTTGCCTCTGTCTTGTTTTAGAAGGGTGCCAGTCCTACTGGATCTAAATCTACCCAAAGTGCCTCAACTTGCCTTTCACTGTCTGTACAGAGGCGGTTTCTCAATTTCATATTACAGGTACCAGCCGTTAGGACTTAGACCTATCTCTGGGAATCATAATTCAGCTCAAAACACCAGCTTATAGAACTTGTAATTCAAAGCTAGAACCAAATGCCGAAGACCATCGGGTCATCTTTTAATTTCTCCCCCACTCCCCCGCAAGTATTAAGGATCAAATGCAGAACATCAAGCTCTATCCCAGAACTATATTACAAGCCCTGACTTTTATAGGAAGTAGAATAAGACTGGTAGTTTAGGGAAGGTAATCCCTCGGGAACAGGAGAGTCCTCAGCCAGCCACAAGTCTGGTAAAGGTCTTATTTGCTTCCTCCACCGTACAGTACACAGGGCCCTGGACACCTAATGTGTGTTTCTTAAACAACAAGCACTTTCTCATACAAGTGTACAGAGTGTGAAAAGCTTATTAGCATGGTTTCCCTCCCCCTTTCCCTCTGTTTTTTATTTGTCATTCCTCGAATCCTTTTGTCCTTTAGTTACTATTTTTTTAATAGGGTCTGGTGTGTTTCCTTGGCTGGCCTGACCATAATCTTCCTGTTCACTCCTCCTGAATAGCAGGAGTGACAGGCACATGCCACCACACCTGGCTTACTGGTTACGATGAGGGCTGGCTAACTTTTTGCCTAGGCACGGCCTTGAACTACTGACCTGCTCCTGGATACCTAGGATAACAGGCGTGCACATCCTCACCTGATCTTATTAGTGTGGTTTCTCAGTCCACCCTGAAACTTTTTAAGTAATTAGAGAAATTTTATTTTGAGATAGAAAATGTGTTTTTTTTTTTCATTTTTTGTTTTTTGTTTTTGTTGTTGTTGTAGGGCTTGAACTCTGGGCCTGGGCACTGACCCTGAGCTCTTCAGCTCAAGCCCAATGCTCTACCACTTGAGCCCCTGCGCCACTAACAGTTTTCTGGTGTTTAATTGGAGATAAGAGTCTCACAGACTTTCCTGCCTGGGCTGGCTTTGAACCATGATCCTCCTGAGTAGCTAGGATTACAGGTGTGAGCCATCAGTACCTGGCTGAAATTGGTTTTTTTTTTGCTGGTCATAGGGCCTGAACTCTGGGCCTGGGCACTGTCCCTTCTGCTCTTCAGCTCAAGGCTAGCGATCTAGCACTTGAGCCACAGCGCCACTTCTGGCTTTTTCTGCTTATGTGGTGCTGAGAAATTGAATCCAGGGCCTCATGCATTCAAAGCAAGCACTCTACCCCTCAGCCACCTTCCCAGCCCAAAATGTATGTTTTTAAAAGATAGTTTTAGGAGCTAGGAATATGCTTCATAGTGGAGTCCTTGCCTATCATACATGAAGTCCTGGGTTCAATTCCTCAGAACCACATAAACAGAAAAAACTAGAAATAGCTCTGTCGCTCAAGTGGTAGAGTACTGGTTTTGGGCAAAAGAAGCTCAGGGACTGGGCTGGGAAGGTGGCTCAGTGGTAGAGTGCTTGCCTTGCATGCCTGAGGCCCTGGGTTCGAATCCTCAGCACCACATAAGCAAAAAGAATAAAGCTGGAAGTGGCGCTGTGGCTTAAGTGGTAGAGCGCTAGCCTTAAGCTGAAGAGCTGAGGGACAGTACCCAGGCCCATAGTTCAGGCCCCACAACCTGACCCCAAAAAAAAAAAATAGAAGCTCAGGGACAGTGTCCAGGCCCTGAGTTCAAGCCCCAGGCTCATGCCTGTAATCCTATCTAGTCAGACTACTGAGATCTGAGGATTGAGGTTTGGAGACAAATCCACAGATTGTTATTTCCAAATAACCAAGAAAAGTAGAAATATGGCTCAAGTGGTAGAGTGCCAGCCTTGAGCATAAACTGTAGAAAATCAAGAAACCAAGTTGAAACCTCCAGTACTAGCAATATTTTTAAAAAGTCATCTTGATTATTCTAGCATTAGAGCTTACTGGAAACCTGTCTTTGATTAGTTTTGTGTCTTTGGATTTAGGTAAGGAAGATTTGAAGGAACCTTCAGAAAGAAAGTCTCTCTATACAGATGGATTTTCCAAACTTGCAAATAGTAAAAAAACTGCAGCTACTACTCCAAGTAAGTGTGTGCACAAACACTGGGAAAGGTTTGGGCCTCTTAAGATGTGGGTGGCAAAGGCTGTGGCTATAACAAGTAACTGTACAGATGCAGAGCCAGGATCATATGTTCTGCTCTCATTTTCTAGTTTCCAGATCTTGGGCAGTTTTTCCTTAACAGCCTGACTTCCTCAGTAAAGTAGAAGTGATTCTACATCCTGTTTCAGCAGGTGGATGCCCACATTGAGAATATTTTTCCTATTACTGATTACTTAATGAAGCATGTTTGGTAGGAAGGGATTCCATTAATGCCTGATGAATGAAAGAATGAATGAATGTGGAATGTGGCATTCTGAGAACAGTAACCACTGTCTACTAAGTTTCTAATCTAAAAAAATCTGGTTTTGGGGGCTGGAAAGGTGGCTCAGTGGTAGAGCGCTTGCCTTGCATGCATGCAGCCCTGGGTTCGATTCCTCAGCACCACATAAGGAGGGATAAAAAAAGGCTGGAAGTGGTGCTGTACAGGCTCAAGTGGTAGAGCGCTAGCCTTGAGCTGAAGAGCTGAGGGACAGCGCCCAGGCCCAGAGTTCAGACCATAACCAGACCCCCCCCAAAAAAAATCTGGCTTTGGACTTGTAAAACTTCTCACTTTTTTTTTTTTTGGTGGTGGTGGTGGTGGTGGTGATAATACCAGGGCCTGGGTATTACCCTGAGCTTTTTCACTCAAGGCTACTTGTCAACCACTTATAAGCCCTTAGTCTAGAGCTTTTTCTTGTTGTTGGCCATTGGGCTATGGCTTCTCCTTAGTAAACCAAGATGTCACTTAGGAAAGTGGACAACCCAAAGATGGTGACTGCCTTACAGTTTATAAGATGACCATGATTTGCCCCAAGTTTCCAGAAACTTAAGTGTTTAAAATGAGAACTTTCAGGGCTGAGAAGGTGGCTCAGTGGTAGAGCGCTTGCCTTGCATGCTTAAGGCCCTGGGTTCGATTCCTCAGTACCATAAAAGAAAAAAGCCGGAAGTGGCACTGTGGCTCAAGTGGTAGAGCGCTAGCCTCAAGCTGAAGAGCTGAGGGACAGTGCCCAGGCCCAGAGTTCAGGCCCACGACTGGACCCCTCCCCAAATTAGAACTTTTAGCCAGGTGTCAGTGGCTCACGTCTATAATCCTAGCTAATCAGGAGGCTGATATCTGAGGATCTCGGTTAAAAGCCAGCCCAGCAGGAAAGTCCATTAAGACTCTAATCTCCAATAAACTGCCAGAAAACTGGAAGTGGCGATGTGGTTCAAGTGGTAGAGCGTTCACCTTGAGCTGAAGAGCTGAAGGACAGCACTCAGCCCCAGAGTTCAAGCCCCATTACTGACAAAAAAAAAAAAAAAATTAGAACTTTCACCAGGTGCTGATGGCTCATACCTGTAATTGTACCTACTCAGGAGGCTGGGATCTCAGGATCACTAGTCAAAGCCAGCCTGGGCAAGAAAGTCCAGAAAACTGGAAGTGGTGCTGAGAGCACTAGTCTTGAGGAAAATAGCTCAAGGACAGTAGCCAGGCAAGAGTAAAAGCCCCATAAACAACAACAGGCTGGGAAGGTGGCTCAGTGGTAAAGCGCTTGCCTTGCTTGCTTGAGGCCCTGGGTTGGATTTCTCATCACCCATAAGCAAAAAAAAAAGCCGGAAGTGGCGCTGTGGCTCAAGTGGTAGAGCGCTAGCCTTGAGCTGAAGAGCTGAGGGACAGCACCCAGGCCCAGAGTTCAGGCCCACGACCAGATCCCCCCCCCAAAAAAAAAAAGAAAAGAAAGATACAAAAAGAGAAAGTGAATAAATGGGTTTTGTCTTGCTTATTTTCATATTTTTGGGGAATTTTCTAGACTTTAAGAAGCTTCATGAAGCTCATTTTAAGGGAATGGAGTCCATTGATGAATATATTAAGAGAAAAAGGAAACATTTTGAAGAGCACAACTCATTGAATGAACTGAAGGTATGCAGAAAAAAATCCATGTTCTTTTTTTTTTCAACCAAGGATCTCACTGTGCCCAGGCTGGCTTTCAACTCTTAATCCTTCTGCTTCTGCTTCCTGAGTGCTGTGATTATAGAGCTACCACCAAGCCTAGATAAAATTCATGTTCCTGGGGTGGGAAGGTGGCTCAGTGGTAGAGCGCTTGCCTTGCATGCATGAGGCACTGGGTTCCATTCCTTAACACCACATAAGCAGAAAAACTGGGAAGTGGCACTGTGACTCAAGTGGTAGAGTGCTAGCCTTGAGCTGAAGAGCTGAGGGACAGCGCCCAGGCCCGGAATTCAGGCCCTACAACAAACAAAAAACAATCATGTTCCTAATGGGACTAAAAGTATTGGTTTCTAATCTTTAAACATGTTGTCCCATGGCTTATAGAAACAGTATTGTTTTTCTTTTCCTTCCTTCCTCCCTCCCTCTCTTTGTCTTAGTTTCTTTCTCTCTCTCTTTTCCTTCCTTCCTTCTTTTCTTCCTTCCTTCCTTCCTTTGTGTGTGTGTGTGTCAGTAGGAGAGCTTGAACTCAGAGACTCATGTTCTCATTGGACTTTTCACTCATGAATGGTATTCTACTTTTTTTTTAAATCCTCTGGTGTGGTTTTATTTTTATTTATTTATTTTTTTGTCGGTCGTGGGTCGTGAACTCTGGGCCTGGGCACTGTCCCTGAGCTCTTCAGCTCAAGGCGAGTGCTCTACCGCTTGAGCCACAGCGCCACTTCCTGGTATTCTACTTCTTGAGCCATACTTTGTGCCTAGATTTTTGTTTTTGTTTTTACTGGTTAATTGAGGATGTCATCTCTTGTCTTTTTCTGCCCAGGCTGACTTTGAACTATCATCCTTCAGATCTGCACTTCCTGAGTAGCTAAGATTATAGGCATGAGCCACCAGCACCCAGCGTTGTGTGTGAACACTACCTGGCAGGGCTGTATTTCTTTACCTATCAGATGAACATATCTTTGCCTTAGAATTGCTTTCCGCCACTCTGAGGATTTTTGACCCCTGTAAGGGGAGCAGATAGGGCGCTCCTTCCACAGTATTAGCAGTAAATTTTTCTGTTCTTGTGGGCCAGGTGGTTTGTCTGTCACGTTCATCAAGAATGAATTCATTTCTGGCTGGAGCCACCTTCGTTCCCTTGTCACTTTCCTGAAGGAAGGTGGGGCATCTTAGTGGCTGAAAGGTTCCTGCTGTAACAGCTGTCAGTGCACATTATTCAAGGAGAGAGATGCTGGGCACCCTTAGGTGCATTTAGACGGCATCCTCAGAACTAGACATGTGCTGGGAGCTGCCAGATAGAGGGCTGACTACCTCTGCCTGTTTCTCAAGAACAATGCCTGTGTTTGTGGTATTAAATATAGGAAAATAACAAGAAGTCTATTTAAAAGGGAGCAGAAGGCTCCATGTGGCAGGTGGGGGTAGGGGCTGTTTCTATTACTGCTAAATTTCAAGTTTTCTGGCATCTAGGGCCAAAAGAGAAAAAAAAAACAACTCATGTTCATAATTTTTTATGGCTGAACTAGGGTTAGAACTCAGGGCTCTGAGCTTGCTAAGAAAGTACTACTTGAGCCACTCCCTCAGTCCAAAGTGAAAAGTCATAAGGAACTTTTTAAAAATAGACGTAAGCTTCTTGGTGGTGAGCTTAATTAAAAGGGTGGATGTTGAAGACACTTTTTTTTCTTTTTAGCAAACAGCGTCAAAGCCAATCATGGCATAAATTTCAGTCCTTCGTCCTGATCTAACAAAATGGAGGTTCTTTTTCCTTTTTTTGTCGGTCCTGGGGCTTGAACTCAGGGCCTGGTCACTGCTCTAACCTCTTTTACTCAAGACTAGCAGTCTACCACTTTAAGCCACAGCTCTATTTTTGGTTTTTGAGTTGTTAATTGGAGATAAGAATCTCGAGGGTACTTTTCTCCCTGGGCTGGCTTTGAACCACAATCCTCAGATCTCAGCCTCCTGAGTAGCTAGGATTACAGGCGTGAGCCACGGCATCTGGCTCACACAGGGGTTCTTTTTTTTTTTTTTGCCAATTGTGGGTCTTGAACTCTGGGCCTGGGCGCTGTCCCTCAGCTCTTCAGCTCAAGGAGAGCGCTCTACCACTTGAACTATAGCGCCACTTCCAGTTTTCTAGTGGTTTGTTGGAGATAGGAGTCTCACTGAGTTGTTCTTTCTTGAAGATAAAGAAAATGAAGCACTTTTCTTAGTTTCAGTGTTATTTAAGCCTGCTGGCCCCATCTGAGTGAGTTCAGTTCTAGAATCTCACCTTCCACCCACCTTGTTCTGTCAGATTTGGAATGATCTGTTTGGAGACTAGAGAAGCAGCGGCCATTACAGTCACTTCCCTATGGCTGATGGACTATAAGGAAACAGAGATTGTCATCCTAGCCTAATACTTCACATTCCAAATCCCTTTCCACAATTAGTCTTTCAGCTTTGCTAGTTAAAACCTACCTTGCTCTTTTAAGGCTTTGATGTTTTTGGCATGCCTAGAGGCTTTTCCTGTCCTGAGATTGTAAAGTATACTCCTGTATTTATTTTCACTTTTCTTCTAGGGGTTAGGAGTCGAGTCTGCATGCGGCACTGCACTTGTTCAGCAGGCTCTCCCCCACCTGAGCATGCTCCCAGCCCTTTTCTACTAATTGTATTATTCCCACTGTTTAATGCTTAAGTCACAATTTACTTTTGTATATGTCAACTTCAATCGTCCTGTCTCTAATGTGGTAATGTGGTTGTTTCTTCTTGCAACAGATCCTAGAGTAATAATAGAAAAATACCTATTTATCCTTTGTACTTTCCCAATGTCTAAAAAAAGACGACCAAGTGGGACCCTCCATAGCAATTTCACAGTGAACATTACTTTCCCTTCTTCCCTCGATTTTCTTTGGGTTTATAGGTAGGAGGATTGCATTGGAAGTCAGACCCCAGGAAGAAATGAGACCTTGTAAGAAATAGTTAAAGCAAAAAAAATAGTAAAATGTTGTTTGAAGGGAGATAGATTATGTGGATTACCTGGCATAAATTCTTTGAGTCATTCATCCTGATCTAACAACATAGGGGTTCTCTTTTTTGGGGGGGGAGGGGTCGGTCATGGGGCTTGAATGCTGAATACATTTAGGAGATTCTTGAGGAGTGTATTTAATGTATCCTTGGTAGAAAAATCATTGTTTCCTTCCTTTCTAGCTGTTAGGAACTGTGCTGCTACATTGTTTTCTCTGGCTGTGAAGTGACTGGGTATATGGTGGCTAAGAGGCTTTCCTTTTTGCTGTTGTTGGTCGTGGGGCTTGAACTCAGGGCCTGGGCGCTGTCCCTCAGCTCTTCAGCTCAAGGCTAGCACTCTACCACTTGAGCCACAGCGCCACTTCCGGTTTTCTGGTGGTTTATTGGATATAAGTGTCTCACTTATCTCCGGGCTTTCCTGCTCAGGCTGGCTTTGAACCACAATCCTCAGATCTCAGCCTCCTGAGTAGCTAGGATTACAGGCATGAGCTACCAGTGCCCAGCAAGAGAAGCTTTCTTGTGCCACATTTTTTGGCAAATCTAGACATTGCTCTTTCCATCTGAATCACCATAGCAACACAGACAGGTGTTGCCTGTAGACAGGTAATGGCACAGTGGCTATACAAGTTAGCTAGGAAGGGATGCTAGTCATGTAATCGTTGGCATGTAGCAGGGTAATGGAGGCAGTCTTCTGCACTTTGCTGTTTGTTTTGTTTTTTGGGGGGGGTCTGGTCGTGGGGCCTGAACTCTGGGCCTAGGTGCTATCCCTCAGCTCTTCAGCTCAAGGCTAGCACTCTACCACTTGAGCCACAGGGCCACTTCCAGCTTTTTTCTTTTTGCTTATGTGGTGCTGAGGAATCGAACCCAGGGCCTCATGCATGCAAGGCAAGCGCTCTACCACTGAGCCACCTTCCCAGCCCTGAACTCTGCTGTTTGGACACAGTACTATGTTGGCAACCAAGCTTTTAAAGTGGTACATTTCTTTCTCAGAAGCAGCCTGGCAGTAAGGGAAAGGTAGTGACTCCAGTTCCTCCCAGAGGAAGACTCCCTGTGGCCTGCACTCCCACACAAAAGTGCCACTCTCCAGGCCAGTCCCGCAACCCTACAAGGCAGAGCGCAGTGTGTCTGAAGGGGTCAATCAGGCGGACCACGCTCTCAGCAACCAAAATGAACGTCAGGTAAAGAGATCACTCCAAACCTTCTAAATATGTTTAGTTTTTAAATCTTTTTGTTTGGGGGTTTTTTTGGTAATAGAGATCGAACTCAGTCCTTGAACATGTTAGACAAGCTGTCCAGCATTGAACAACAGCCTTCAGATTCATTCTAGTGTTTGCTTAAAGGGGGAAAACAGAAAAGGAAGTAAAAAAGGATTGAGAACAAAGAATCTTGTCATTTGTATTCAGTTTTCTTGTTCGATCCAATATCCTTAAGCACAGGTTTTATTTTTAAGACAGAAAATAAGACATGTGTATGTATATAGATAGATAATCTTGATTTTATTAGTTTGCTGTATGCTTACTAGAAATAAATTATTCCATTGGCTTAAATATAAAAGTGAAACTAACTTCACCAGGAATAAGCAGAAAAGGAGAGCATCTCCAGTTGGTTCCTGAACTCTAACCTGAAGCCTGCAGGCATATACCACAAGCCTTACCATGGTTAATGTCCTCTACCGTATCTGCCTGGTGATGGTCCAGTGCTTTTACCTCCTGCCATAAGTACTCTCGTGATGCCCTCCACTGTCATTTTAGGTTTTCAGCTGCTACTAAAGATAACGAACATAAGGGTTCACTGACCAAGACTCCAGCCAGAAAGTCTCCACATGTGTCTCTATCTGGGATTACCCCCAAAAGCCAGGCTGTGCTCGGAACACCCAAGTTAAAGACCACCAAGGGGAATTCTGCTTCTGGTAAAATAAAATAAAACACTCTTAAATCCTTTCCACATGTACAAAATCATGTGCAAAAACTTCATCCTGCAGGAAGTGATTGGGAGGATCACAGAAAAACCCATTGATGATATGATTTAAAAAATGAAAAGAACTATAATAGGTCTTTGGTCTAACTAAGCCCTCTGATGTTTTGGGGTCTTTTTTTTTAGTCATTACTCCATTCAAGTTGACAACCATGGCAATGAAGACTCCAGTCTCCGATAAGAAACCAGTGTTTGATCTGAAAGCAAGTTTGTCTCGTCCCCTCAACTATGAGCCACACAAAGGTGGGTGTTTGCTGCTATGGAGCCTATATAAGTCTTCAGAGTAAATGATTATGTAAAGATGAGGGGGAAAAATGTGAGTGTAGATCAATGTGAAAATGCTTGCCTAGCATACATGAGGCCAGCCCTGGGTTTGATCCCCAACACTAAAAATCAATTAATGCATAAATGAACAACTTCTGCTAACTGAGCAGAAGCCACACTTTATTTACAATTCCTTCCCTTGTCCCTGCTTCCAGATAGACCCATAATTTAAAATTAATTGGTTTATTTACACTTTAACCAAAGTTATAACTTGTAAACAATATCACTACTCAAAATTAATATAATTTCAGCTAGTATCAAGAAAAATTGAAAAGTTAGCCCATGCTAACTTCTCACTTTTTGTCTGTTTTGAACACTACTATGAATATGGTAGGTACATAGTATCTGAGCCTTTGTACCTTTTTTTTAATCTTAGTAACTTTTAGTAACTTAGTAATTTTTAGTAACTTTCAAATATATAATAATACATTGTTAACCAGAGTCATATTATACAATATACCTGTTTTATTTCCCCTAACTGAAATCTTCTGTTTCTAACCCGTACCTCCCCAGTCCTGCCGACCCTTCTCCACCACAGTCCCACTCTGCTTTTGAGTTCAGTTGTTTCAGATTCCACACACAAGAGAACATGCAGTGTGTGCTTTCTCATGTCTGGCTTACTTGACTTGGTGTATACCAATTCCAATCCAAGTTGCTGCAAATGATAGGATTTCCATCTTTGTCCAGGCTGACAATATCCTATTATGTACACTGATGATGTTCTTTATCCATTCATCTGTTGATGGACACTAGGCTGATTCCATGGCCTGTCTACTGTGAGTACTAGTAGTGCTCTTAACATGGGAGTGCAGGAGTCTTGTCAATAAACAAATTGTGAATCTTCTGGGTAAATACCTAGAAATGAGAACTGCTGGATCTAGTTCCAGTTCTACTCCCAACAGAATAGTCCCAACTCCATTCTCAGTGCATTGTAATAGGTTAATAGAGTCAGAATAACAGAAATACACTGGTAAAATGCTTTTTCTTTTTTTTGCAGGGGTGGGGGGTAAGGTCAGTTGTGGGACTTGAACTCCACACAGGTACTATCCCTGAGCTTCTTCACTCAAGGATAACACTCTTCCCACTTTAAGACACAGTGCTGCTTCTGGTTTTCTGGTGGTGAATTGGAGATGAGTCTCACACACTTTCCTGCCCAATCTGGCTTCAAGCCATGATCCTCAGATCTCAGCCTCTCGAGTAGCTAGAATTACTGGCATAAGCCACTGACACTCAGCTCAAAATGCTACTTTAATATTAAGTATAATATCTCAGTAATATTAGCATAAATGATACTTGGTTGTAAGTTTCTTTCTTTTTTCTTTTTTGCCAATTCTGGGGCTTGACCTCAGGGCTTGGTCCCTATCCCTGAGCTTTTTTGCTCAAGGCTAGCACTCTACCATTTGAGCCACAGCATCATTTCCAGTTTTTTCTGTTTATGTGGTACTGAGGAATCGAACCCAGGGCTTCATGTCTGCTAGGCAAGCACTCTACCACTAAGCTACATTCTCAGCCCTGTAATAGTTTCTTTTGGAATCTGTTAAGGGTGTTTTTGTATAAGTTTTTTTTCTGAGACTTCATAGGAATTTAAAAATAGGACACATATTCATTTTTAGAAGAAAAACCTGACATATCTGGAATATGGAATCTAAGTATTTTGGGATGTACTAGGAATTATGTGAAACAGTATAAATGCTGCTAGGAAGCAAGTAGCCACAGATGAAGACAACAGACTTGTAAATAAGATATCTATAAATTGTTTGTGCTACATTAGGAAAGCTGAAACCATGGGGACACTCTAAAGAAAATAATTCTCTCACTGAACATGCAAGCAGAGTCAGCGTCTATAAGAAATCTTACAAACAGCCTCCTCTCCAAACCCGGTGAGTAAATAATTATCCAGTTTGAGAATGTTTCTAATTTCAAACCACAGTATACAAAAGCACCTCCAAAAGATAGGGTAGTCTCATTAGTAGTATCAGGAAGGTCAGAAGTGGCTAACTTAATCCATTTTACAAGAAAACAGTATTGCTTCGTGAAGTACATTTCCTTTGGCTCAGGGTCTGAAAGTGCAAGCAAGTCAGGCACTGGGGGAGCTTCGCACTCTGGTGTTTCACATGGTGGATGGATCACGTGGCGTAAGCACATTCAAGAGGCTAGAATGCTCAAGTGATAGTGTTTGCCTAAGAAGCAGAAGGCTCTGAGCTTATTCCCTGCTACTGAAAAAAAAAATAGCAGCATGTGAAGAGCTCAAACACAGTGGCCTCATTTTCTACTTAGTCCCTCAAAACCCAACCTTTCAAAGGGCAATACCCACATACTCTACCAGGCTCCACTCTTACGGAGCCTAGCACATTATATTGTGGCTCAAGCTTCCAGCACATGAACCCATGGGATATAAAACATATCCAGACTACAAGGAGGAATCTATAGAATCTGTAATAGTGTGACTAGGCTCTAGGGTGACGGATTCCAAATCAGGTTTAGATTGAGCCCAAATATCTGCTTTATGTACAGAATTGTACCGGTGATTCAGAAAACTCAAAGCACAGGTCTTGCATGACTTATTCTCCCAGGCAGTGCACGCAGTATCCCTCCAGACCTCAATGCTCAAAGGCCCAGGGGACCTAGGTCCTGGGTGGATATAAATTACTCTCAAAGAAACAAGGAACATGAGATATTAAATCCAGGACTTTGGAGGCTTTCTTTACCACAAGAGCAAGTTGTACCCAGATCACTGCTGCTTGGTGGCAGCTGGTCCTGGGTGAGATAAGAACCACTGACGAGCACTCTCCTCACACAGGGCCACCATCCCTTGATTCTTGTCTATACCAGCTTCTGCTAAAGCCTTTGCCATGTGTTATTAGGTAGCTGATAAGAGCGAGACACCAGTGACTCTCACTTGTAATCCTGGCTACTCAGGAGGCTAGAATCTGAGAATCATAGTTCAAAGTCAGACTAGGCAGAAAAGTCTAATTAACCAGGAAAAAGCCAGAAGTAGAACTGTGGCTCAAGTGGTAGGGCACCAGCCTTGAGAGAGAAAGGCAGACAAGAGGGCCCTGAGTTCAAACTCACACACAAAAGAAACAAAAGTTAGTTAACATGATGATCCTGGGCTTTTTTTAACTTAATGATCTCTAGAAAAATATAATAGAGGGCTAGGAAGGTGTATCAGTGTTAGAGCGCTTGCCTTACGTGCATGAGGCTCTGGGCTCAATTCCTTAGCACCATATAAGCAGAAAAAGCCAGAAGTGGTGTTGTGCCTCAAGTGGTAGAGTGCTAGACTTGAGCTGAAGACCTAAGGGACAGCGCCCAGGCCCAGAGGTCAGGCCCCACGACAAAAAAAAAAAGCCCAGCGCCGGTGGCTCACTCCTGTAATCCTAGCTACTCAGGAGGCTGAGATCTGAGGATCACAGTTCGAAGCCAGCCCGGGCAAGAAAGACCCTGAGACTCCTATCTCCAATAAACCTCTAGAAAACTGGAAGTGGTGCTGTGGCTCAAGTGGTAGAGCGCTCCCCGGGAGCTGAACAGCGCAAGGATAGCGCTCAGGCCCAGAGTTCAAGCCCCATGACCGACCAAAAAAAAAAAAAATAATATATACACACACACACACAGGTCAAAGTCAGTAGTAGATCCTGCTTCTAATTTTAGCTCTGGACCAGACCATGTGATTGGGAATTTAAACTTTTTTTTTTTTTTTTTGGTGGTGGTCTGGGGCTTGAACTCTGGGCCTGGGCATGTCCTTAACTCTTCAGCTCAAGGCTTAGGTGCTCTACCACTTGAACCACATCACTACTTCTGGTTTTCTGGTGGTTAATTGAAGAGTCTCTTAGACTTTCCTGTCCAGGCTGGCTTTGAACTGGGATCCTCAGATCTCAGCCTCCTGAGTAGCTAAGATTACAGGTGTGAGCCACCGGCCAACTGGCTACATTTTATTTATTTATTTTTTGGTTCCCAACCTGGGGATTGAACTCAGGGTCCCTGAGCTTATGTGCTCGAAGCTAGCACTCCACAACTTGAGCCACAGCTCCATGTCCAGCTTTTTATTGACTTAATTGGAGATGTGTCTCACAGACGTTCTTACCCAGGCTGGCTTCAGACAGCAACCCTCAGAGCTCAGCCGCCCGAGTAGTTAGGATTACAGATGTGAGCCGCTAGTGCCTGACATGTGAGTGTGATTTTTGATAGACTAAATCACTGTAGTCAGTAACTTCTGGTTCCATTCCATGCATGATTTTAAAATCCTGAGGTCACAGAAAACACAAATGCCTACTTCTAGCCCTTTGAACAACACGACCAGATAGTAGAATATTTTCACAAGTGTGTTAGATGTCATTTAAGTTTGTGTACTAGTTTGAAGTAGTGGCACCGCTAGGACCTAACCTATGACCCACCTGTTCCTCTTAGGGAAGAGCAACGGAAAAAGCGTGAGCAAGAACGAAAGGAGAAGAAAGAAAAGGTGTTGGGTGCCCGAAGGGGCCTCAATATGATTAAAAACAACTAATTTTTTAATGTCTGGTTAATATTTCTTCATTCCTGTTTTTCTTTGTAAATATTTTTCTACTGTCCCCCCTTCATTAGTCAGAAGCTCTTGTTTCCCTGTTGACTTTTATCTGTTATCTATGTACTGTCCCTGGGTTCTTCAGGTCCAATAGCTCTGAAAATTATCATCTTAAAGCTCAAAAATTCACTAGGCATGGGTGGCTTACGCCTGTAATCTTACCTACATAGAGGCTGAGATCCAAGTATCATGGTTTAGAGCCAGCTGTGCAGGAACATCTGTGAAACTTTTATCTCCAATAAACTACTCAGAAAAATCCAGAAGTGGTGCTGTGGTGTAGAACACTAGCTTTGAGCAAAGAAGCTCAGGGATAGCACCAAGGCCCAGAGTTCAAGTCCTGAAACCGGGGCGGGGGGGGGGGGGGTAGCATTCTTTGCAGTGGGTTTTTATCTAAGCCTCTGTACATTACATTTTCTAAGGAGACTCATCCTTGATATTATTAACTTAGGTACTTTTAATGTCAAGATTCCTCTCAGTTCTAACATTGTGGGCAAAAGCATGACCTGATGGCAGCTACTTATACCACAGCTTCAGTAGAGATAGAGTAGAAATGCAGCTCAGCACCCTCCATACTAGAAAATCTAGCTACTAGAAAATCTAGCAGTTTTAAACTGGGCCAATCATTTAATTATGGCACCAATACTGTAACTCTGAAAAATGTAAAAGAGTATAAGCACTTGTGTTTATATCACTGTGTAATTTTCATTTACTATATTCTTAAAATTCTACAGCTCATTCTATCCTTGCTTATTTAAAAATAATAGCTACAGATCCAAATCAAAATTTAAGAGGGCTAGTGGGTATGATAGAAAACTATGCCCTAGGTCCCATGGCCAATACCACAGAAAAGATTTACTGCTTCTAAGTATTACTGTGTTCTGTCACACTTACTAAACCTTACACTAAAAGACAAGAGAATTTGTTAAGTACATCCTGTTCCTTGTATCTATGTAGAGCTTCTGAGTTGTATACTAAAGACTTTCATAAATAAAATGTTTTCGCACTGCTGTAGATTTGTTCTTTGTAAACCTGTCAGCAAAGATTTAGATGAGCAGCTAAGATTAGTTTCATACACCCTTTGTATTTTTCCTAGTACAGACCCTAGCTTCTACACCTGGCTTGCTGAGAATGGGTGGAGTCTTGCTAACGTTTTGCCCTAGCTGGTTTCAAGCCCTGGTCTTCCCTTCTCTGCTTCTAGGCAGAGTAGCTGGAATTACAGATAGCAGTGCTGTGCTCAGTCCAGGAATATCCTACAGCAATATAAAGCACTGATACAAACCAGGCACTGGTGGCTCATGCCTGAAAATCCTAGCCACTTGGGAGGCTGAGGTCTGAGGATCATGATTTGAAACCAGCCTGGGCAGAAAAGTCCTCATGAGACAAAAACTAGAAGTGGAGTTGTGGCTCAAAGTGATAAAACACTAGCCTTAAGCAAAAAAGCTCATAGACAGCACCTAGGCCCTGAGTTAAAGCCCCACAACCTACCAAAACAAAACAAAAACACTACATGACTTGATTTTTAAAATGTTATGTAAAGACACTAAATTATATTTTGTATGACTCTAACAATATGAAACACACAGGAAAAGTACACCTATGGAGAAAGCTTAGTAGCCACCTGGAACTAGGGGTGGGAATAAAGGATGACTGCAAAAAAGCATGGGAGTTTCTTTGGGGCTGGTAGAAATACCTTAAATCTTCAATAATGATTGCAAAATTTCCTATGCTGTGTGCATTAAAGTGTAAAACACTTGACAGGCGCCAGAAGCTCATGTCTGTAATCCTAGTTGCTCAGGAGGCTGAGATCTGAGGATCACAGTTCAAAGCCAGCCAAGGCAGGAAAGTCCATGAGACTCATCTCCAATAAACCATCAGAAAACCGGAAGTGGCGCTGTGGCTCAAGTGGTAGAGCGCTAGCCTTGAGCTGAAAAGCTGAGGAACAGCGCCCAGGCCCAGAGTTCAAGCCCCATGACCAACAAAAAACAAATAATAATAATCAGGGCTGGGAAGGTGGCTCAGTGGTAGAAGGCTTGCCTTGCATGCATGAACCCCTGGGTTCAATTCCTAACACCACATAAGCAGAAAAAGCCAGAAGTAGTGCTGTGGCTCAAGTGGTAGAGCGCTAGCCTTGAGCTGAAGAGCTGAGGGACAGCGCCCAGACCCAGAATTCAGGCCCCCTGACCGCAAATAATCACCCCAGGCAGCATGGTACTTCCTACAATCTCAGTTACTAAGTTTACTAGGAGGTTAACGCCAGCTTGAGGAAAAGTAATAAGACATTACAATTACATGAGCCACAAAAAAGTACTATCTCAAAGAGCAAATATTCAAAGTGGATTTTAGGCCAACTACTAATAAAGCTATTATCTTTTGTATATCTTGTTTACTTGTGATTTGACTCTTTTAAAGTACTTTAGGCAACGATATTGTCAGTTATGGGGCCTGAACTCTGGTCCTGGAGGCTGTTTCTCAACACTTCAGCTCAAGGCTAACGCTCTACCACTTGAGCCACAGCACCACTTCCAGCTTTTTCTGCTTATGTAGTGCTGAGGAATTGAACCCAGGGCCTCATGCATGCAAGGCAAGCACTCTACCACTGAGCCACCTTCCCAGCCCCCCACCCTGTTTCTTAACACAGCAGAACTGATCAAATTTAATTGGTTATCAAGGTCTTATTTTTGGCTTATCCAACCTCTAGTATTTTTTTTTTTTTATTGGGTCCAGTCATGGGGCCTGAACTCTGGGCCTGGGCACTGTCCCTCAGCTCTTCAGCTCAAGGCTAGCGCTCTATCACTTGAGTGCCACTTCCGGCTTTTTTCTTTTTGCTTATGTGGTGCTGAGGAATCGAACCCAGGGCCTCATGCATGCAAAGCAGGTGTTCTACCACTGAGCCACCTTCTCAGCCCCAACCTCTAGTATTTTAAATGACTGAGGAGGCCAGATATCTAGTATCTTTAGTTTCTCTAGTTAACATTAGTGGTCACCAGAAGTAAGAGCTAGAAAGGATTTCATACATCTTTAAAGGATAAGCTTGGGCTGAGAATGTGGCTGTGCCTCCAATTCAAGGACAAAGCTCTCTCTAGATACCACATCTCCCTGCGACTCTGACAGCATCTTTTCCTCAAAGATGACTTAGGAAAGAAGAAACCTATCAGGAAAGAATGGTAGAATTCTGTAAACAGCCATGTCAGATTCCTAATAGGAACTTTTTTGACAAAAGTTATTTGCAAGGTGCCTCTGCATCATTTTATGAGCTAAAGCATAGCTCAGAACCTGGCTTCAGGCTTTACACTTACAACATCATTTTGCCTTGACTTAAGACTATATCCCAGTGTTCATTGAATGCTTTATTTTGGGTAGGTCTTGAATCAAACCCCAGCCACAAAATAGTTAAGCAGACATGCTTTGTGTTGTACAGATACTCTTTACTACCCAAAATACAAAGCTGTCACGTGCTCTTTGCTATTTAAATAGTCTTGGGCTAATAGCTGGAGAATTTTCATAGGCAAATTCTTCTGTATGTGTAGGGTCATTAAACACGCCAATAAAATCTATTTCCAGGAAGAAGGGACCATCCACTTTATCAGCCAGGGTAAATCCTATAGATGCGATCTAAATTTAAAATAGAGAAATTGATTAAAATCTCATACACTGATGCACCAATACTGTTCCTGGAGTTTTCAAATCTCAGGAGATAATGACTCACTGAGGTCTTTATGCCTCAGCCCTCATCAAGCCCAAGATGATTATCATGATGCTTCTCTCTACTTCCAACTCCTAGAGGTAGTTCAACTTAATGACAACATGATGCTGGGCACAAGTGGCTCATGCCTGTAATCCTAGCTAATCAGAGGCTGAGATCTGAGGATCACAGTTTGAAGCCAGCTTAGGCAGAAAAGTCTGTGAGACTCATCTCCAGTTAACCACAGAAAAAGCTGGAAGTGCTGCTGTGGCTCAAGTGACAAAGCACTAGCCTTGAACAAAAGCAGCTCAGGGACAGTGCCTAGGCCCAGAGTTCAAGCCCCAGGACCAGCAACAAAACAAACATGGATGCCTGATGGAGATTCTTCGAAGTTTTCCTGAACGTGTGTGTGTGTGTGTGTGTGTGTGTGTGTGTGTGTGTGTGTGTGTGTGTGTGTGTGTGTGTGTGTGTGTGTGTGTGTGTGTGTGTGTGTGTGTGTGTGTGTGTGTGTGTGTGTGTGTGTGTAACTGCAATCCATCTACTCTAGGCTCCTGTGGTCACTGGGATCACAGTCATGCCCCACTAGCCACATGGTTGAGAAGGGGGTCTCATTAACTTTTCTTGAACTGTGATCCTCCTGATCTCAGCATGCCAAGTTGGTTGGATTACAAGCATGAGCCATCAGTGCCTGGCCTGAACTCTTAACTTAACCTGCTAAAATAAAATTCATATGTGCTGAAGAGATGAACACTCCTGTAGATAGGGACTTAACATAAAATAGGACCGACACATAAGATTGGTCTGAGAATCTATCTGGGCAAAACAGAGGTGGCCCTTAGTGGGAATTTTCATGTCTCATCCACCAGCCTTCTAAATGGGAAGACATAGCTCAGCAGCAAGACTGCCTGCCTAGCAAGTACTTCCATAAAAAGAGTTAAAAAAATATACAGGGGTGGGGGGAGGGAGGGACTGAACTTATTCACACAGGGGTTGTGTTTTACTAAAGTTGATGTCCTTCTGAGTGAAAGGAACTAGAAAGTGTTAGTTACCTTGTCCAGCATAAGTGGGGTCTGGACATCCCGGATTCTTCCTTGGTTCGAGAAGAAAAATTTGGAAAAAGGAATCTGAAATAAAAGATCCATTTCATTTTATAGCTAGAACATAATCAAGATTTGTATGGAATTGCAATGATTAAAATAAAGTTCACTTTTAAATTATATAAAGTGGAAGTTATAGCACTGGGAGGACTGAGGCAAGAGAACTGATTGAGCTTTACAGGTTCAAGACCACCCCCAGCTACCCCCCCCCCCCCCAGCAACATAGCTAGACCACATCTCAATAAGCCATCCAGACAAGAAGTTTGGTTTCTTTTTCTTTGCAATATTGGGACTCAAACCCAGGGTCTTGCCTTTCCTAGCTAAAGTACTCTACCACTGAGCTACATCCCCATCCCAAATAAATAATATATGCAGTTATAAAAAGTGGCCAGCCATCTGTCTCAAAGACACAATTTTCCTTCTGTTCCTCTCCCTCTCTTTCTCTCTCCCTCCTCCTCCCCTTTCCCCCCCACCCCCTCTTTCTTCAGTCCTAGGGCTTGAAATCAGCCTGGGTGCTGTCCATGAGCTCCTCTGCCAATTCCAGCTTTTTCTGTTTATGTGGTATTGAGGGCTTCATGCATGCTAGGCAAGAACTCTACCACTAAGTCAGATTCTCAGCCCCTGGCTAAAATTTTAAAATATGAAATAACTATGAAATCCCTGTAACCTACCTACTCAGGCTAAGATCTTAGTATCACACTTGGAAGCCAGCCTGGGCAGAAAGTCCTTACGATTCTGATCTCCAAATAACCATCCAAAAGCCACAAGTGGAGCAGTAGCTCAAGTGGTAAAGCACTAGCCTTGAGCAAAAAAGCTGAGGGACAGCATCTAGTTCAAGCTTCAGGACCTGCCCACACACAAAAAAGGTCAGACTAGAAGCATGGCTCAAACGGTAGAGTGCTAGCTGTGAGCAAAAAAGCACAGAAAGAGGACAAGTCCCTGAGTTTAAGCCACAATACTAGTAGGTGTTTGTGTGTGTGTGCATGCACACACAATCAGTAGTTAATAAGCTAACATATTAATCAAAGAACAAGTCATGTATGTCTTTCAAGTCCTCTTCCATCCTTTTATATACTCTACCCTGATCTTCCAAAAAGTATTAGTAAGAGAAAGGAAACTACAATGTAACCATAACTGAAAGATCTCACTTTCATAAACAGTGAAGACTTGTGCTATTACCTTGACCTCCTGCCAGTAGGGTCCCCCACGGGTGAACATGAAGTAACTGTACATCTGATTGCTCCTCTGGATAAAGTCTGTGTCCTGCCTGATATTCACCATCCAAGGCCGTCCATCCCCACGGATGCGGAGATATAGAGTATTGAACCAAGACCAGTCATGAGGTTGTTTCCTCTCAAAAGAGCCCTAAGGTACAGAAAGAAAAGTTCATTTTGCTTCATTCTCTTCTGTTAGCAAATTTTTTTTTTGTCTGTCATAGGTCTTGAACTCTGGGCCTGGGTGATGTCTTTGGGCTCTTCAGCTCAAGGCAAGCACTCTACCACCTGAACCACAGCGCCACTTCTGGTTTTCTGGTGGTTAGAGATAAGGGTCTCATGGACACTCCTGCCTGACTGAGCTGGCTTTGATCTGCGATCCTCAGATCTCAGCTGCCTAAATAGCTAGGATTACAGGCATGAGCCACCAGTACCTGGCAACAAAATGTTTTTCACAAATCTACAGCATCATGAGTACCTGCTAACTATCTACCTTTATAGACTTCCTATCGCTAAACTTAGTGATTTTTGAGCATGAAATATATATTCTAAATGTATATATATTCTAAAGTAATGTTCAAGACATGATGGTCCTGAGTCCCTTGGAATGGATACTGTCTGGTCTGTCTGGTGTTTGCTAAGTGGAAGTGAAGGTCCCTTTTTTTCTGCTGTTTCTTAGAAAAACAAATCTTGAGTGGCCCGTTGTATGGCAAGTATCTTCTAGTCCGAAAACTGCAGAAAACTGAGATAGCGACAAAGGGATCAAAAGTTTGGGGCCTGCCCAGGAAGTTATTGAGAACTTCTTTCAAAATAGAAAGAGCCACGAGGGCTGGGAAGGTGGCTCAGTGGTAGAGCGCTTGCCTTGCATGCATGAGGCCCTGGGTTCGATTCCTCAGTACCACATAAGCAAAAAGAAAAAAGCTGGAAGTGGCGCTGTGGCTCAAGTGGTAGAGCGCTAGCCTTGAGCTGAAGAGCTGAGGGACAGCGCCCAGGCCCAGAGTTCAGGCCCCACGACTGGACCCCCCCCCCCCAAAAAAAAAGAAAGAAAGCAAGAAAGAAAGAAAGAGCCATGAATGGTACCTGAAACCTATAACCCTAAACTCCTCAGAAGGTGGAAATGGAGAATTGCACTTTGAGGCCAATCTGGGCAGGAAAGTCTGTGAGACTTCATCTCCAAAGTAAGTAGTAAAAAGCAGGACTGGAGGAATGGCTCAAGTTTTAGAACACTAGTTAAGCAAGAAGTCAAGGAAGTGTGAAGTCCTAAATTCAAACCCAGTACAGCCAAACGAACAATGGACCCACAGACTGACCCTATATCCACTTGAAGGACCCTATATCCCATAGCTGCCAGGTACATGAGAGGCAAATGTACCCAAATATCTTCCATCTGTCTAACCTCTCAGGATTCCTCATACTTGGCAATGTTCTTTGGTCCAAAACAATGCCCAGAAACAAGCTCCTCGTCCTGCTCCTTCCCCCAAGGTTTTCACTTTACTCTTGGACCACGTTCTTTATCCCCACATCAAGCAGGTGAGACGCCATACATACTATGCCAGGGGTGTTGCTCACAGTTCATGCTATAATGGAGGTCACCTAGCTCACTGGGACTATGGCTCCCGGGCCTCACCGAACCTACCCTTGGAATCCTGGACATCATTGTACAGAACCCACTTTGGCTACTCTCCCCATCATGAGGTGCCTCAGTGCTCAGAGTTCCATAGAACAGTGCACTCTGGTTGTTCTTGCCCATTTTCAAGAACACTTCACTTCTGCCTCCAATCGTCTTATCAGAAGTCACTACCCATTTATCTAGATCTTCTTTTCCACGAAATTGCCAGACAACTTTGGCTTGTTCCAGCAAGACTTCATGAAGGGGACGGCCACCTGGTCCTACCCAGGAATTCATGATTTCATCTTTCAAACGCTTGAAATGATCCTTTATTTCATCTCTAATTGCTTTGTCAAAACTAATCTCAGTCTTCTCTTCAGGAGAAGTTACATCCAAGGCAATGTCTTTTGGGGGGTGTACTTGCAAACCCTCTGCAGTCTTCCTCGGTTGGGAGACTCTGTCATGAGTAACCATTGGTTTCTTAGGACTACTGGAACAATACTTGGCAAAGTGGATTCCCCAAAAAGTCTGCAAGGTGGCATCTGGCTTCACTTGTTTCCTGAGAATATAAGTACCATTCAGCAATTTGTGACCCAAAACCATGGTAAGAAAAAGTCTGAATGTGACTTTCTCCCTGGACTATCAACGAAAGAAGCTTCAGAAATCCCACCTGTAACAGAAGAAACATTGAAGAGTTAATTACCAATGTGGCAATACAGGCATCACAAGTTCAAACGAAGGACCATGTATTAGGAAATTTATAGTTTTTAGTTGTTGTTCTTTTGAGACAGCATTTCACTACGTAGCCCATGCTAGCATCAAATTCAAAATTGCCCTAACTCGGCCTCCCAAATGCTGAGACTAAAGATGCGTACATCATGCTTGGTTTAAACTTAACTTTCTAATCCTATAAACATTTATCACCTATTATGAGCAGAGCACTCTATTAAGCATTGGGAAAAACAGGAACAAAAACACAAGTCCCAGATTCATGCAGCTGATGATGAACCCCAAAATAATTCAAATACGTGCCAAAGCTACCTAAAGAGCTGGTGTTAACTTTAAAGAAAGTTTTAATGCTGTATTTTGACAGAATAGGTTCCAGAAGTAACCTATTCAAGCAATTCACCCTAGGACGTAAGCCACCTGACTTTAGAGCTTAGCATTTCAACCTTGCATGTAAGGTTAGGAAGCTCTACCTATTAAGCTGTACAATTCGGGTATTGCCATTTCATAGGGCTAAATCTAATAACGCTCTTTGCCTTCAAGTACACCAGTTGGTCTCGGAGACTCCTGTTTCCTTAAGAGGCTCTTCTGGAGATGAGGGGAGAGCTACGAGGGTTCACTGGGCTCAAGTCGTAGAACATGTGCACGCCACGCCGCAGCCCTGTGCTCAAACCCCAGCAGCACCGAACCGTGAGGGGGAACGGAGCTTCCAAAACTCAACTACCCAAGGTCATACAGCCAGGAGGCGAAACCCAACCCCGGAGTCTAGGCGTCCAGGTCCTGGGTCGGTGCGGGGTGCGAGGGGTCGAGGAGATGGGGTGCCCCCCCCCCCCCAGCCCTCACCTGCCGCCAGCGTGTCAGCTCCCCGCGGCGCCCACCGCCCGGCGCCCGCTCCCCTTCCGGGAGAATGTGTACGGCTTCCGCTCGGGTCCGCCGCTCTTTCCCGCCCCCTTCGACACTCTTCCGGTGTTGGTCCAATTGCTTTTCCCTTCCGGTGTCAAACCAGGTGCCTAGAGTCTAGAGTTCCTGCCTGGTTTTCGGTCCACTCAGTCCCCACAACGCCGGGTTTCTGTTTGTTGTCTTTTCTTCCCTTTTTGAGAAGACAACTGAGAACTGCATCCCACCCTCAAGCTGCAACCTCCCTTCTTGGGTTTTCCCCCTATTCCTGTATCTTTCAAATAGAACCTGGTGATTAACTTCCCCCTAACATTTATCTCCCCACAGTCCCAAAAAAGGGTTGTCAGTAATCTCGGAAAGCCATTTCTGCTAGATCTGCTTCAGTGATGGGTCCTGGACAAGCACCCGGACAACATCCTGTCCTAACTGCCAGCCCCAATTCCACCCACGGGGCTCTAGTACATCTTGTGCACACCTCTGTTAAAGGATTTCAACATGTGTCTTAATGAAGTTGCATAAGCCTCCCCACATTGAGAAGTTTCTTCCTTCGCGGTCTGCTGTCTCAGGGATAGGCTGCTCAAGACGAGCACTCTACCTCTTGAGCCACAGAGCCATTGTTTAAATAAAAAGAGGAGCCTAGAGTGTGCTTTGTACTATTATCACTCAGGAGGCTACAAGTTTGAGGCCAAGCTGAGCTACATAATGAAACCTCTGAAAATAAGCAAGCAAAGATGAGAGGGAAGGAGGAAGAAAGGCAAAAAAAAGAAAATGGTGCCACTGACATGATCTAAGTGTGGATGTTTTGCCTGTTGGTGATCACATTTAGGCTCAAGTAAACAAATGAATCAATAGGCACATGTGTGCCTGTGTGTTGCTGAGGATGGAACTCAGGGCCTCACAGGAGATATGCCCCCAAACAAAAATATCTCAGAAATCAGGTTTCTCCTTTGACATGTTAAATATGTAAATAAAGAATTACTATGTTGCTAAGTGAGTCCACAAGTTTGGATTACATTATATAGCTTATTACAAATGTACTATTATCAGCTGTGATATATGGCTCAATAAATGAGTAATTAATTAACCATATGTATCAAAGTTGGTCAATAACTTATTTTCTTGTGTTGATAATAGCCTTGGACTCAGCCTCAGGCATTTTTACTCAAGGGTAGCATTCTATCACTTGAGCCACAGGTCTACTTGCAACTTTTTAGTAGTTAATTGGAGATGATGAACTCAGATTTGTCTGCTCCGGATGGCTTCAAACCACGATCCTCAGACCTCAGCCTCCTGAGCAGAAAGGATTTTGGGCATGAGCCACCAGCACACGGCTCTAATGTACTCTATAAATTTGGGTTACAGTGATAGAGATTTTGCTTATTATGTGTGAGGGAGACCAAGGCTTCAATCTTCAACACTGAAAAAAAAAAGTGGGGGAGAATTGCTGGAAATAACACTTTAATGCCCACACATCCTCCAGGTCCCCAAATTATTATTATTACTGTATTACTATTTTCAGTACTGGTCCTGGCCTTTGAACTCAAGGCTTGTGTGCTGTTCCTGAGCTTTTGTGCTGAAGGCTAGTGCTCTAACTCTTAAGCAATAGTTCCACTGCTGGCTTTTTTAGTACTTAATGGAAGATAAGAGTCTGAGACTTTCCTAGGCTGGCTGGCTTCAAACCATGATCCTTAGATTTCAGCTTCCTAAGTAGCTAGGATTACAGGCATGAACTACCCGCACTCTCTTCCAGATTATTCGTGATTTAAAGGGACTAGCACTTAGGTAGCACTTGTGGTCCAAAAAATATGTGTTGAAGGAATAAAGAATTAGTTAAATCTTGTAATGGTTAGTCGTCAACTTGATTAAGAGACATGCAGATTCATAAATCACGATTCTTGAGTGTGTCTGTGAAGGTGTCTCATTGAATTTGTTGATCATCCAGAGATGGGAGAGCATCTGGGGGGGGGGGGGGGAGGTGAGGAATCCTACCCTGCCTATAGGTTGCTACATCCAAAAGGATAGGGCTCCGATGAAAGAGGCCAACCAGCTGGTGTGAGCTCCGTTCTTCCCGAGCAAGAGCATCTCTGCATTTGCATCACCGGTGGACAGCGGACTCCAGCTCCTAGGCGCTTTCATGGACTCACTGAAGCAGCAACTCTCCAGGCAACGTCCCGACTCCGACTGGGATGTAGTCACGTATTCATTCGCTACAATGTGGCCAGGGTAATTCCTTTAAAACACTAATCCCAATCTCGGCGTATCTCAATAGTACCCCGAACCTCCTCAATACCGCCGCACCCCGTGCCCCCTGCCCCGGCCCCACTCACTCACACCACGCCTGCGGCTCCGTCTCCAACGAATCTCAGTTCCCGGATCCCAACTTTCGCTATGAGGCCCGGTTCTCTGCTTGGCCCTCTCTCCTCTGGGGTAACAAATGCGTCCTCGGGGCCCCGGCCCAGGTGTCGCACGCCCCACGGCCCAGCCCGGCCCCAGACCGCTTAACCCAACTCGCGGCTCCCACGAGGGCGGCCCCCGAAGCCGCCCTCCACACTCGACCTCACACAGCTGGAAAGCCGGAGGCGCGTGAACTTCCCCAGCGCGATCCCCCCTCCAGCCCCGGCCCCGGCCCGAGCGGCTCCAACCCGCGACAGGCGAAAAACAAAAAGGCCACAGCCAAGGGCTCCGGGACAGCGCGGGTCGCAGGTGCGGCCGGCGTCCGCCCGGAACCCGCCAGCGCGTGGCCCCGCCCCCACGCTGCGTCGGAGGCGGGGCGGGGCGGGGCTCCCGGCGCCGGCGAACGGCGTGCGCCGGGCGGGGGGCGGGGCCAGGGGCGGAGCGGAGCGCGCATGCGCGGTCGCCTTTGTGTGGGTCGAGCGGCGGCGGCGGCGGCAGCGGCGGCAGTGGCGGTCCCACTGGCAGGCGGGCAAGAAGGGAGTCCGGGCGGCGTCCGGCGTGGGAGCCGCGGGACCACCATGGTAAAGAAGCGGAAAGGCCGTGTCGTCATCGACTCGGATACGGAGGACAGCGGCAGCGACGAGAACCTGGATCAGGTCAGGACAGGCCGCGGAGGCGCGGGCCGGCAAAGCGGGAGGGCTGAGTCCGGGGGCCACGGGAGCCAGGAGCCGGCCGGGCCCGGAGCCTCCGGCCCCGAGCGCCCGGGCTGCCCCGCGCCCTGACTTGCTGCCACGGCCCCCTTCCCGCCCTCCTTGCCCCGCGGCCCAGCCCCTCGGGGTCCGGCCCGGGCCTGGAGACCCAGCTCCGAGGACTTGGCGCCGCGGACCGAGAGGCGGGGCAGGAACCGGGCTGATGGGCCTCGGGGCTCCGGAGGACGGAAGGGGGGCCGCGATCTCCTGGGGCCGGGTCGTGGCGGCCGGCGGCAGGCCCGGAGCCCTGGGCCCGGAGCGGTAAGGAAGTGTCGCCCGCCGGCCCTGGTGGCTGGGAGGTTTTGGAGGAGGCGCCAGGGCGAGCGTGGGGCGGTGGGAGGGGGAAAGAGCCGGGAAGGTGCCGGGACTCGTGGAGGATGAAGTTTCCGAGACCGGGGACACCTGCGAGGAGCTTCCAGGCTGGGCGGGGAACGCCGAACGGCGGGCACGAGTCCCCGGGAGAGGAGGGCGGTCTGTGGTGGGGACGGGCGCTCGGTGGGACGTCCGGCCGAAGGCAAGGCTCCGCAGGAGGAGAGAGGGCGGAGGGTGAAGCGGAGAGAACTGGGGCGGCCGGGGGGAGCCGTGCCCCGGGCTCTGAGCGGCGTCCCAGAACCGTCTTCTTCTGGAAGATTGCACAGGAAGCACTGGAAGTAGCGTCTGGCCCGGCCCTGGCGTCTCGGGCCGGCTTGAACTGTTGATGTACTCTAGAAAACACTGGAGGGAAGAGGCTGCCTTGTGGCAATGCTATACCAGGAAACACCCAGATGGGTTTCTCTGTTCCATGCATGCAAAGCATAGAAAGAGAGAATGTGCACCATAGAAGTTTAGTAGAGAAAGTACTCAGTTTGATTCCTCAGGCTGGGTGTGTGCTGCTTTATCTTTAGTCTCCTGTACCTAATTGGACAGTGGTAAGGAAGAAATGCTTATAAGATATTGGTGCAGACATGTGCAAACTCTCCTTTATTCCATGCAGAAGTAGGAGTGTTAAGTATTAGAACATGAAATTATTATTATTATTGTTAGTCGGTTGTGGGGCTTGAACTCTGGGCCTAGCCGCTGACCCCGACCTCCTTTTCTCAAGGCTAGTGCTCTACCACCTGAGCTACAGCGTCACTTCCGGCTTTTTGTGTGTGTGATTAATTGGAGATAAGACTGCCCCCCCCCCCCCAGCTGTCTGCGAACCCGGGATCCTCAAATCTTAGCCTTCTGAGTAGCTAGGATTACAGGCCTGAGCCACCGGCGCCCGACCTGAATTGGGAAAAATTTAAGTGAGAATTGGAAAAAAAAATTATTTTTTAATTTTTGTTTTTATTTTTTGGTTGGTCGTGGGGCTTGAACTCTGGGCATGGACGCTGTCCCTCAGCTCTTCAGTGCAAGGCTAGTGCTCTACTGCTGGAGCCACAAGCGCCACTTCTGGTTTTCTGGTGGTTTATTGGAGATAAGAGTCTCAGGGAGTTTCCTGCCCGGGCTGGCTTTGAACCATGATCCTTAGATTTCAGCCTCCTGAGTAGCTAGGATTACAGGCATGAGCCACCCGTGCTCAAGTTTGGAAAGGTGTTTTAAAATGGTGGTTGGAAGTTGGGCCCTAGTGGCTCACCCATGTAATCCTAGCTAGGATAGCGGGTAGGAAAGTCTGTAAGACTCTTTTATCTCCAATAAACTACTAAAAAAAAAAAAAAAACTGAAAGTGGAGCTGTGGCTCAAGTGGTAGAGCACTGGCCTTCAGCAAAAAGTCAGGGACAGTGACTAGGCCCTGAGTTCAACCCCCCAGGACTGGCACATGCGCACGCACACACACACACACACAAACACACACAATGGTGTTGGAGAAGTGAGAAAGTAACAGTAGACACCTGGGATAGACACCTTGCTTTGGGATAAGAATTGAATGAGTAAGTTGAAAGTGTATCATGGAAAGTCTCCTAAAATCTACCAAAATATGTTCTTGCCTATAAAGATTTCATTGAAAATTATTATTACTATTATTACTAAGTAGTTGTACCAATTCAGTTAGTCAGTTTATAAGTATATTGTACCCAGTGTCACCTCTTGCATCGTTCTCCCCCATCTTTCCCAACCCTATCCATATTCACTGATAGTTTTAAGATGCTAATTAAGATTGGAATCTGTTTTTTGAAAACTATTTTCTCATCTACAAGTATAGCCATGTCAGATAATGGCATCAGCTACCTTTTACTTAGTCTCTGGAGTGAACAACACACTTTAATTATGTTTTTTCTTTCCTCTTTTTCTTTTGAGGTGCTGGGGACCTTGCACATGCTAGGCAGATGTTCTGTCACTGAGCTACATTCTAAAATCATGGTGAAGTTGGATTCATTTTTCCCACTTTACATATGAGGAAAATGAAGATTGAAGAAGTAATCCACATGGGGCTGGGAAGGTGGCTCAGTGGTAGAGCGCTTGCCTTGCATGCATGAGGTCCTGGGTTCGATTCCTCAGCACCACATAAGCAAAAAGAAAAAAGCCAGAAGTGGCGCTGTGGCTCAAGTGGTAGAGCGCTAGCCTTGAGCTGAAGAGCTGAGGGACAGCGTCCAGGCCCAGAGTTCAGGCCCACGACTGGACCCAAAAAAAAAAGAAGAAGAAGAAGAAGAAGTAATCCACACAACTGGGAATTGGTAGAATTGGAACTTAATACAAATCTACTTGAATAGAAGGCCTGTATGATTTCCACTATACCTACTTAATCTGCTACTATTCTAATTTTTTATATTGTAAAATGAGAGTAATGTTTCATGGCTATTTAGCAATGTTGCTGGAATTCACATCTCTGAAGTGACTAGATAATTTAGAGAAAATTGGCAAATGAGTTAAAAAGATTATTACTCTCAAGACGTCTGTTCCAGAGGGGGGTGAACTTAGCTGCGCATTACTCTGTCCACAGTGGTTTCTCATGGCATTCTGATGAATCAATAAGTGGAGTGCTTCTACTGGTTACAGATATTTTACTTGACCCACAAATTGCCTTTCTAAAGTGGGAACTGCAGCTTTAAATCCAATTCTAAATATTTGTTTGTAAAAAAAATTAATTAAATTTGTAACTAATATTTAGTTCATTTTAGCAATTGCAGCTTCCCTTCAACTACTCATTGACCTTCCTTTTGTTTTCTTTTCTTTTCTTTGTGCCAGGGCTTGAACTCAGGGTCTGAGCACTCACCTGAGCTTTTGTGTTCAAGACATTTGTGTTCTGTCACTTTGAGCCATAGCTCCCCTGTCAGCGTTTTGGCAGTTAATTGGAGAAGAGTCTCACAGACATTCCTGCCTTGGCTGAGTTCAAATCATAATCCTCAGATCTCAGCCTTTTGAGTAGCTAGTCTTCCAGGTATGAACCACCAGTGCTAGGCCTCCTTGGTATTCTTTGTTATCAGATGGGAACCAGATCAAAAGTCCCTCTCCTTGCACATCCTGGCAGGGGCATCACTACCTTCTCTCTGATTGTGCATTCAGCAGTGTGCCATGTTCTGAGAGAAAGATTTCTGTCCTCTGAATGATTGTACTCCTGGAGGCCTTTAGTAGAAGTTGTTCCACCAGCTTGATTTTAGGATTTTTTTTTTTTTGGTCAGTTGTGGGGTTTGAACACAGGGCCTGGGCATTGTCCCTGAGCTCTTTTGCTTAAGGTTAAAGGCTAGTACTCTACCACTTGGAGCCATAGCTCCACTTCTGGTGTTTGAGTGGTTAAATTGGAGATAAGTGTCTCACTGGGACTCTTCTACCTGGGCTGGCTTTGAACTACAATCCTCAGATTTCAGCCTCCTGAGTTGCTAGGTTTACAGGCATGAGCCACTGGCACCTGGCCTAATTTTAGATCCTAAGGAATCTTTTTTTTTTTTGGTTGGTCTTGGGGCTTGAACTCTGGGCTTGGGCGCAGTTGGCTCAAGGTGAGTGCTCTACCGCTTGAGGCACAGCGCCACTTCCGGTTTTCTAGTGGTTTGTTGGAGGTAAGAGTCTCACGGACTTTCCTTCCTGGGCTGTCTTTGAAACACATTCCTCAGATCTCAGCCTCCTGAGTAGCTAGGTAAAGGCGTGAGCCACCGGTGCCCAGCTCTTAAGGAATCTTTAGAGCATAGTCAGTACATTCCGGTCCTTTCTTGACTAAGTTTCCTTCTCAGACCACCTACTTCTGAGTCTTCATTGAGGGCTTGACTTCAGGCTATTCACATATGTTCCTTGTGGAAAGGAAAACCCTGACAAATCTCCCAGTGGCTACTGTGAGAGCAGTGCAGTTGGCAGGGAGATCTTTCTGAAGAAAACCTGAGTTTTCCAAATGGGAATCTACGCCATTATGTCAGAAATACTGTTATGACCTTCAAGTTAATCTTTGTTGGGGGTGAGATGGGTGATCCTTCCAGGCTGGTGTTCCTGGGAGCTAGAGCAGGACCGCTGTGGCAAAAGCCACTTATGTTACTTATTTAAAACATAGGGTTAGAGGGGTGAAGGGTGTCGTTCCTGCCCTAGGTTTACTGAATTAGACCTTGGAGAATAGAGCGCTGGACTCTGCATTTATCATAGGTGCAGGCCATGTAGTTATGCTTTGTTTGTGACTGAGACCACTATTACTATGCAAGTTAATCTTCGGGAAGGTTAATCACTGTTACTATGCAATTTAATCTTTTTAGTAAGACTCTAAATAGTTGAGGAGAGAAATAGTTTCTGGTCTGTGCCATAGTATGTCCAAATTAAGGGCATGCATATATTCAAAGGAATGTTTAACCAGTAAAGCTGCTGGTTCTAAGTCTCTAAAGTGAGTTGGATTGTTGTGCCGATTTTTGTTTGTTTATTTATAGTTCTGGAATTGAAACTAGGGTCTAATGCATGCTAAGCATATGCACTTTACCACTGAGCTCCATCCTAACCTCTAGGAATACCTTTTTTTTTTTTTGGTCAGCTAT